GGATATCAAATCCTTGCAAATGGTCGTATCGTATATTCTCAAGACAACGCAAGAGAAGAAGCATATATAACTTCAAACTCACAAACTACCGAACAAATAAAGAAAGTAGATGTTTTCTCAAAGACTCGACATGAAGATGTATGGAGTCATTCGGGAACATGCAGAACAGGACAAATTGTTAGTGGTCCAATTACAGCAGGAAAATCATTTGATTTTAAGCTTCGTTTAAGAATTCCTGTTAGAAGATTCCTTCCATTAGAAGCTATTCGATTTATTCCAGCTTTTGCAGGAAACATTCAGCTTAAAGTAAAGTTCAGTAGCGACGCCTTACAATGCACATCTATATCTGTAAATGATATCATTGCTTTCAATCCAACTCTTAAAGTTGCATTTGCTTCAGATTCAAATCCACCGACAAATAAATTTGTTCCATGGAATGAACCATTCACTATGATAACGAAGTCAGTAGAAGCTAGTGGAACAGTTACTATTACAACTGTAACCCAGCAACTATTTCGAACAAAGATGGATTTTAATGAATGTTTCATTCATCCAAAGTCATTCTCTTTAGACCCTAACATTTATACAGAACTTGTAGAACATTATACAAACGAGGCTTTATGTTTTCCTGTTAAAGTTATGGATTGGATTCCTATGGACGGTTCATTCTCAAAGAATACAGATAGTTCAAGTGCAACATTTACAGCAGCTTATACGCCTATTAATGTTAAAAGTATTTGGGCACTATTTAGAAAGAAAGACAACTATTATGTTAATTTTGAGAACCCTAAGTTTAAATATCTTCAGCTTTCCATGGGAGCTTATGGAAATATGCCTGCAGAACCCGAAAAATCATATGGACCTGTATTTTATGAAATGGTTGCGAACGCCTGCAATACAAACAATGATATGATTGGATTTAATGAAGATGTTATGAGGTCATTGGTGGATGATGGTAGTGTGGAACATAAATGGGATAGCTATGACAACACACATTTCTTATGTGGTTTTCCAACTGAAGTGGACTTTTGCTTCCAGCAAGGTCAAACATCTACTGCTCCAATAACATACAAATTGTCTGTTAAAGGACCTATTGAACTAGCAACTGAAAACGTACCAAAGCCACTTATTGGATTTATGAGGGATTGTTGCTTTGCAATACAAGTAAGACAGTCAGGCATACCAATAATAAGACTTGACGACTATAACTTAGCAACTGACGACAGTGAGGAATAAAGGATGAACGTTTATTTTTAAAGCTTATAAATGAGTTCTTCATCAAGCTCTCGTGAACCTTCACCATCTATGAAACAAACTTTACCAAACGATTATGGAGCACCTATTGAATATTTCTTACGAGCTGCACAATGGCAAAGAGCAGTCTCACCAAGGTTAGGTGTTCCACCAGCTCCTGTCAAAAATAGCATTTGGTCAAGTCCTTATATAAAATATGGTCTCCCACTAGGTTTGCTAGCTACAGCAGGAGCAGTTATGATGTTGAAAAGAAATAAAGCAAATGTTGTAAATAATACTGAAGTAGCTGAAGTTAAACAAACTCCAACACCTTCGCCAAAACCAACGTCAAAACCAACACCTTCACAAACAACACCTTCAATGACTCCTGAACCTATGGAAGTACAAACTCCTGTTCAAAAGTCAACTCCTAAACCGACTCCAACATTTAAACCAGAACCTACTCCTCAAATAAATCGTAAAACTCCTGCGTTTCCTTACTGAAAAATAACGTTATTTTTATTTAATATTAAAATTTTTATTTGATTGAAATGACAAATAAAGTCACTGAAGCAATGAAACAAAAGTTTTTGGTAGAATACATTAAATCAGGAACTATTCCAGAAGGTTTTTACATTCATACTATGAAGGATGGTAGAGTTCAGTTTAGAAAGATAAAGCAACCATTAGATAGAGAAGGAATTTTGAGAAAGATTAAACTTCATGAGGACAACATTGCTGAACTTAAGAAGAAGTTAGAAGAGTTGGAGAAAGGAAGAGAGTTATAAAGCAATGAATTCAACAGGGTGAAAAAAGAGGTGAGATCTCACCACTTCACCTAAATTTATTTTTGTGCTATGTTTTCATACGTGTGAGGGTGGTGATATCATTTATTTTTTATTTTATTTTTATTTTATTTTTATTTTATTTTTATTTTATTTTTATATAAATGACGAAAACTATTGAGATAACAAACTACAACGGTCATGAGTTCAAGAATTTGTTCTTCGTTCCTCGTGAAAATACATTCTATCAGATACGAGGGAGAAAGGGTAAAGTTAGTTTGAGCGTTTATGAAGGAATGAAGAATGGAAAGTTTATACAAGCATACGATACAAACGGTAAACGTGTTTCATTAGCTTTGTCAAAACTTACTAACATTTATTTTGACAGTGATTTTGACTCTGACGATTGGAGCGACAGCAGCGATACTGAAGAATATGAACTATTGTGTGAAGCACAGCAATGGGAGGAGTTGCAATACTTTTGTAAGTGAGAACATTAGTGGGAATGTTAGTGAGAACGTTTATTTTTACATTAGTGAAGTCGTTTGTGAAAACATTAGTGAGGTGAAGTGGTTGGTGGCTGTGTAAATATTTAAGGTTAAGTTAGTGTTGTCGTTTGTGTTGTAAAATATACGTTAACGGTTTCGTAAAGTGTCAAAACAGCTAAGTGATGTATGGAGGCGCGCAGTGCCTCTGTACACGACTTAGGTATACTAACTTAAAGAAGCAATTAGTGACGTTGCTGAATCAATAACGCCAAAAGCTGCCCCAATAAGAGAAGTTTTAAATAAAGGAGAAAAAGTTTATCAAAGACTACAACCGATACTAAGATAAAAATAATTTTAAGCCGCTAAGCAGCGAGATGATCCATAGGTTCTCATATTTATTTTTCCACTATCTACCTCCTATTTTATTAAGTATTCCTTCAGCTATTCCACCAATTGCGTTACCTGCTTGTGCTCCCATCGCCGGATTACCTGCTTTAGTACCTAATACTCCACCTATGATAGTTCCTGCCGTTTTCGCTACTGGTGCCAAAAAGTTTGCAATGGGTTTAATAATCTTTTTATGAACCCAACCCGCAGCTTTCTTAATTCCATCCCATAATTTTTTAAAGAATCCTGCCGCCATTTCTGATTTAATATTAATTAAAAAAATATATTTCATCACTTATATTCTAATTTTTATTTAATGATAAATGAAACCGATTTTAAAAATAAATGAAACAGAGGAGGAAGAAATAAATAAAAGTGAAAATGTTCAACAAAAAATAAACATTGTTAAACCAATTACTGAAATAAAAATTTTTTCATCTGTTGAAGAATTTAATGACTATTATGCTAATAATAAAAAATTATTTGAAGAATTGACAACATGTAAATTGAATAAAATGTTTAAAGTTGATGGATTCAAAATTTCAAAAATAAAAGGAGTGGTTAGTTTGAAATCTATTCCTCAATCAAGAATCACCTCATTAATGAAAATAGATGATTTAACAAAAAGAATAGAAGAGATTGAAGAAAGAATGAATCAAATAATTGATTTCATAAATTCAAATAATCATTAGTTTCTTAAAGTTCAATGTTGAACTCATCAAATTTCTTTTTCCTCAGTTTTAATCATTAATCTACAAAGAACTTTAGTGAGGTGGTTTTGTTGTTTAAACCATTTATCCGGAATTAATTCCCAAATTTTTGAATTTTCGATTAATTTACCATCAAATGCAAAAACAATAGGTTTAATATTAACCTGGGTGAGAATTGATTCGCTCATTTCTTACGAATTAAAAAAATAAATGCCTTCCTCCTTTCGTACCTATGTTGTCAAAATGTCATGTTGTCATCATTTTTAAGAGAAGTTAATTAACCTGGTGACATGGTGACGTAGTGACACCATCAGTTATTCAAAAATGTAAGACATGAATTTTTAAAGTTTATTTTTTAAAAATTTTTTATTTCATATTTCATTATGGTAGTGAATCTTTCATTCATGAAAATAATTATTTCTAATTTCTTTTACTCTCTCATACATACTAGATTTAAAGAATTCAGAACATTTCCCATAATCTCCTAAATGTTTTCTTATCTTATTGGTTTTCCATTCATTATATGAAACTGTATAAACTTTATCTTTATCTTTACACCTTTCATCACTTCCAATATATTTATATCTCAGTTTTGATTTATTGGTTTCATATTCATTTAATAATTCACAGTCTTCCTTTTTAAATAAATGTTTTATGTATTCAGGATTAACAATTCTATAATATTGCTTCCCTTTAAATCTTTGAATATAAACAGGAACACCATCCTCTAAAATTCGATAATCTATTTTATCTGGTTTTACTTGTTGGGTCATTTATGTAAGAATAAAAAAATAAATTATTTTAAAAATAACTTTAATTTTTTAATGGTTTATAAATAAATATATTTTAATGCATCGTCTATATATAGATGTAACAAAAAAAGTCACTAAACCCATCATATCCTACTACTATTGTTTTAGTATTCGCAAATGCAATTTTTGTATGAAAATTACAATTGTGGCATTAATCTCAGTAATTTTATTTAAATTACAACGTTCAAATTAAACCAAACAAAACAAAATAAACAATTTGTTAAAAATTATGATGGCTCAGCGGTCCAAACATCTTAGATTTGCATTGCATTCATCTCATTCAAAAAGTCTCTTTGAAATGTTCCTTTTCAGAGATTTTTTCTCATTTCTCAAGTTTTGGACTTGGTCATGAAGGATGAAATCCCTGAGAAACTCTAAATACTCCAGATTCTTCTGAGGATTTGAGAAACTACAACGAAGATTTCAAAATAATAAAATACAAAAACAAACTACTTTTTATTTCCAAATAGTACAAAAATATTCAAACAAACAAAAATATAAAATGATCCAAACCGAACCCAATTGATAACGAGTCAAAATTACTTCAGGCATAAAGCCTATATATAAGTTAAAAAGTATTGAATGCTACTTAAATCCGTTTCTTGTTGTTGACATTGATTCGCTTGTTAATAGACTATTTTCATTTGAATCCTTTTCGAGCAATGATAGCTCCATTAAAAGATATTGCGGAAAGCTACGAGTAAAGTATGCTCCATCAATCATCTCATGAACGGCATCAGGATTATAAAGTTGTTGACATTTGAAGCAATATAATTTAACGTTTGATTTATTTGGCTTATCATTAAGTCCTATTGGAAGAAGATGAGTTCCATTGCAAGAAAGTCGAGGGCATAATCCGAAAACGCCTTCTCTGAATTTTTTGATCATCTGAAAAAGGCCTTCTTCAGAGAAAATAAATCGGGCATGAATTAAACCATAAAGATGTTCAGTTTCCTTCTCGATTTCATCTTCACTATCCGAATCGAATGAATCACTTGAATCAGTCCCTCCTAATAGTTGCTTATATGCGAGTTTTCCATGACATTCGCTTGATTCGAGACCGTATAAATTGAATCCATCGTTCAAATATGCTTCTGGTATCTGACAAAACCATTCGGAACCGGGTTGGCAAAGGAAATTGTCAATCCAGCTGAGTCCATCCTTATCAGATCCATCAGAACTATCTGTATCTGATATAAATGTGTGTTTGTTTGATTTGTTTGAGTCACTAATTAATTGCCGCGATATCGTCATTGAAAAAATAAATAATTTATCATGTCACTTCAGCTTATGATTTAATAATGTTGTATTATACACTATAATTTACAACATTCTTGGTTGTTTATTGTGGCAAATTTTTGAAAGTGATTGGTTGATATTGAGAATATTGAAGAATAATATTAATATTTAGATTAGATATAGAAACTCAAAATTTTAAAAAGATTTATTCATATTTTTTAAACGAAATTTTAATGAAGCAGAGTAGAGATGAATCTGAAAGGCGAACAAAATCTACTCGAAGCGAAACAAATGTCCGCATTTCTATTAAGCAAAATAGCCCATTTGTGACGGAATCAATAAATACAAAAATATATCAAGACGCGCCAAACGAAAATGACGTTTACAACATAATAATTCATCATAAGCGAACACATCAAAACGAAATTGAACAAATTGATCAAGAGAAACCAGAATTTAATTTCCAATCTACCAAATCTGAGCAAAATAATACAAATTTAACTTCAAAATACAAAACTAAACACCAAAAACAAGACAATTCTTTAACAACAAGCAATTCGAATTCCGATGCACGTTTAAAAATTCTTCCTACTGATTTTCAAAATTTATTAGATTCACTTGCCTCAAATATATTAGAAACATACGATCCAGATATAATCGATGATGCACGTACAACTTCATATTTTTTGATAAATAGTCAAACAATAAATAAAAAACCACAAAACTTTGATTATTGGGCTAAGAAATGGAAAAATTCTATTAGTCCAGACTACATACACAGCTTGTCTCAAATGAAGAAAGTTTTCGGCGATCAAAAACTTGCAATTTTTGATTTATTAAACTCTTTATCATCATCTAACTTACATATTGTCTCCACAATCAAACCAAATACAATTAGAAAGACAATTGTTCATATTAAAGAGCCAATTCCTGACATGATTTTAGTTCAGGAATTAAAGAAACTTCTTTTAGGCGATGAAAGCAAAATCTTACTAACAAATGATGATGGCAAGATTACATGCGAAAAATATACAATTCCTCATCAAAATTCCTCATTAAATTATGTTTCAAGAATAATTAAGATAGTTAACCAAATCAGAACATCAAACGAATCATTTACAGGTAGTATCGGACGAAATATGCTCGATGTCATTGAAAAAGAGTTTAAACCAATAGTTGAACAAATTGAAAATATTGATACAAACAAAACATCATTACTTTCATTAGAAACACAACTTACAGGTACCATATTTGAGAAACTTCAAGCTCTTGCTATCATTTGCTATGCAATTTCTTCAAAATTCCGTCCTTCTCTTTTAAATACAATTTCTTATTGTCAAAAACACGGAAGTCCGCAAATTCTATCATTTGGATCACAATTGATAGATGCAGGCATTGAAAGTCTACTTGTTTACATCAGAGATTGGACAGTTTTCGGAGTTTTGAAAGATCCAGAAAATGAATTTTTTGTAACTAAACATTCCGGGAAATTAAGTTCACAGGATTGGTGGTCGAACAAATATACACGTGTCCAAGAGAAAATTCCTGTTTTTCTCAACGAAAACAGCATAATTAGAAAGATTTTAAATGCCGGACGCGCAAGGAACTTTGTTATCAAGTACAAAGATAGTTGCATGAAGTATGTAGACAATTTCGGGTCGACAGCACCATTTGCCATTAATTTTACTTCACAAAAATCAAAAGAAGAAATTAATAACGAATGGGTTGGTCCTCCTTTTGAATTATCGATGGTTCCTTTATTCTATAAAGATGCTGTTAACTCAATGCGTTACATGACATTAGATATTGTCTGGATTCCAGGTCATTTACGAACTCTTGTTGATTTTATTCTTTTTGGTCGCGGAGATTTCGCAAAAGCTTTGTTCACAAACTTTGATGAAGCAGAAGATGGAGATGCAGCTGCTTTATTCGTCCACGCAATGAAGGATTCAACTCCAATGGCAACAACTTACATAAATCCAATTACAAGGGAGCCATTGCATGACAGAGTTGATCTCAAAGAGAAATGGACACAACAGCCAACAGTTGATGAAGTTAAATTGGTTTATTTGACAAATGCGCCAATTGATATCTTCTTAACTCAAGAAGTATTGCGTAGATATTACTCTGTGAGTGATTTCATCTGGAAACTTAAAGTTTCTGAGTTTAGATTAGGCAACGATTGGCATAATTCAAGAAAACTTGAATTATTAGAATTAATTGGATTCGAACATTCAACTTATCGCTTGATGAACGCAACAAGACAATTTATGCTTGCAACAGTAACAAGTTTAGTCGAATATTTATGCACAGACATAATTATGTGCAATTTCACAAAAATGACTACGAAAATGAAAAGTTCAGAAGATTTTGATGATATGCTGAAGTTACATACAGATTATCTTGATTATATCTGCGAAAATAGCTTCCAAACACAGAAACATTTTAATATATTGAAAATTGTAAATTCAATTGTTGAATATGTTTCAATTTTCCATGATTTAATGGCTGAAATAGAAGGAAGCTACCAAGCAGTTATCAAATACTCTCAAAAGAAGAAAAGATGGACAAAGAAAGATCATCCTTTCATACAGAAACAGCAAGAATCATTTGCTGATATCAGTAATCGTCTTTCGAAGCTTTATGAAGACTTTGTTGCTCTTTTAAGAAAGTTTTACATCTTAATTCAAGATGAAAAAGTTCAAGAGATGCAATTCTTAGAAATGAGATTGAGAAGAATCTGTATCAATATCCTTTAAGCTTTTTACATAATTTTGTTTATTAATTAAATGTTCTTTTTGTTTATTGAAATTTTTCCTTTATCTATTGTTCTTAGGAATGCTTTTAAATCTACATAGAAAATAAAGCAAGAATGATCTTATGAAATCATATATTTCTCCTTATACAAATGATTCGATATGATTAAATATTCTTTTTCTACTTATGCATTAGCATTAAAGCTTACAATTCTATAGTATGACAGAAATTATAATTAAAGGCAAAGAATATTAAGACAAATATATAAAACAGATACTCAAATTAGAATGATCTTATAAAACTTTGTAAATCGACTCTATGGAATAACACAAAAATTAATAAAATATTGAGCTGTTAAGTAGATTCTAAAGTTAGCGTATCAATAAAAAAATAATGTAAATACAAATCTAATCTTTAAATTTCTATAGAAAAGAAATCAAGAATTAACACTATGCATGGAATGTATATACATATACAAACATTGAAGCTTCAAATGCGTTGATATTTGTAAAATGTGAATTACTTAGCAACATCCTTTCTTCGGCTCCTGTGGAGGTGCATCTAATGCTACAGCATTCATTACGGGAGCAATATTTGCAGTATCTGCAGCAGCTTGTAGCAAATTTTCAAATCCCGTTTTTGCAGCAGCCGAAGTGTAAAATATCTCTTCGATATTGAATTTTTCTTTGAATAAATTTGCATCAGCTTTAAATTCAGAAATCTTCTGTTCATCGTATAAATCTAATTTTGTAAGAATTAAAAACAATTTGCAAGTTGGAACTTCTTCTAAAACACTTTTGATCCAAGCAGGAACGGATTCTTTAAATTCAGGATTACCTGGATCATAACAAACACAAGCAACGTCTGCATCTCTGTAAAACAAAAGATTAACTGCTGAATATCTTTCCTGGCCAGCAGTATCCCATACTTGAAGCGTAATCATTCGACCAGATTTCTGTGTTATGTCTACAACGTTAAATGCTGGTGCAACAGTTGGAACAGGTTGTGGATTGAAATCTTGATGGAAAAGAGCGCCTATTAAACATGTTTTACCTACTGAGCTACTTCCTACAAATATAACTTTAACTGTTGGTGTTGAGCTCGTAGTCATTTTTTACTATCGAAACCGTAATTCATCGTCACTAAAAAATTTTTTTAATGGCGGAATAATTTTTGGATATCAGTAGAGATTGTCACTTTTTGAAAAAACAATTTTTCTATGCAATCACGTGAAACTGGCTATAAAGCATTATTTAAGGATCAAACAACACCAAAAGATAAAGTATCTCATATCGAACTTGAACTATGGCTCGAAAGAAATCTTCGAGAAAGAGCAAGAAATTCAAAACGAGGTAGTGAAGAAAGAATCAAGATTTTTGTCGAAATGTTAGAAAAAATTGCGGCATCAGATCCAGTTTTCGGTTGTTTTATAGATAGAGCCTTAATTGATATTACTGCAGAAAAAGAAACTGCTCCTACAGAAGTTCAAGCGTTGCAAAGGCTTATAGTGCAAGAACAGAGACTAGATCAACTAAAAACAGAAACTCAAGAAATAGAAAAAGAAAATGAACAGTTGAAAAGGCAATTAAACGAAATAAATCATCATATAGAAAGACGTCAGCAAGAAGTTACAGACTTAGAAGCTACAATGCGTCAGAGATCTGATTTGTTTGAAAAACAAAGACAATTAAATGATCAACTAAACAAATTATTCAAAGTATTTGACGACCCGCTTATTGTTCATGAAGAGAAAGTAGAAACAGATGCACCACAAATTATATCTCTTCGAAGTCATAATGAATCTCTTAGAGAAAAAGTTTTATCTATTCAAAAATGTATTGCCATTGCAGAAGAAGAGATTCAAACAATCAAATCTCTCAAATAAAATATGTTTGTTTTCATGTCTATTAAAAAAATTTTTTTTTGTTATTATCAAATAAAAAGTTTAATAAAACACAAATATATATAAGTTAAGCTTTTCTGCGTTTCACTGAATCTTGTTTTGATGGGAATGAATCCTTTGGAATAGTAATGTAAGTTGTAACATATTCTGAAGCTTCCTCCGGCCAATGGAGCAACAAAATAAAAGAAAATGCAATGGCAGTGTAAATAAATAACAATAATCCGCATATAGAGATTCTTTTCTGATTGGTAGATTTGAAATACGCGTAAACTAAGGTTGGGATCAATGTATAAGCTATATGAACTATCGATACTTTATGTTCTGGTGCTTGCTTCTTGATTCTATCAGGAATAATCGTTAATGAGAAAACAATTACCAAAATTGTAAAAATACCGAGCCAATTCTCCAAGAAATTTTGTATTTCTCCATATCCTATCTTAAATGTTTGAGGGAGAAGTAATACAACAATCAGAAAAATCGCTAATGCAAATAATTTTTCAATAAATTGAGGTTCGCTATCAGCATTATGAACAGAAAGGTCCCATGCTGAAATAACCATGTATGAAATCAATGTTATCACTGAAACAAATTCGAAACTAGAAATTAAAGTTTGGAATCCTCGAATGTTCATGAAATAGCAAATTTCTGGGATCGGTAAGAAGCAAAAAGCAAAAACATATGATAATCTATGTGTTAATGCTTGTATGTAAGTCGGTTCGCTCTCAAGTTTATCAACTTTTCTGATGAATTTAAAGAGCATAAGAGTAATGATTATGCAAATGACAGATTTGAGTAGTAAGTGGAAGAAAATGAATGATGAATTCTCCAGTTGCCAGGTGTATTCTAAAGCTTGAATTGGCTGATCTTTTGAAATGAAGTTAATATATCCGCCAATTTCATCAACACTGAACTTTCCTGTTGAAAATACTTGTGAATACTTATTGTTAAATAGTTTAAGAGGAAGGTTTTCGATCGTAAATTCACGAATGACTAAATTGTTCTTTTTCAGCTTCACAAAGCCTGTAACAATGATTCCCATTGCTCTGAATTTGTTGTTTGACTTAACTAAAAAGGTAAGTGAGCGATGATAAAATTTCAAATTTTTCATTGAAAGTTGAATACTGACTTCTTTTGTGTTGCTTTGTGTCTCTATCTTGTGTTCAAGATTTAAATTGGGTGACGGAGATATCCAAATAAAAAGTAACGAAATGATACAGCAAGCAGCGAATAAGATGACTGAATATATAAAACTCCTGGTATCCATCTGCTCAAATGCTTCAAGAGCCAAGTCGGTGTCTCCAATGTTATCCATTTGATCGCTTGAATCCGATTTTCCCATTTTTACTCGGATGTTGTATTTTTTGACATTTCATTTTTCGAATCTTTTATGTTGCGATTAGAAGCATGAACATGAACAAACTCCCTTATACAAAATTAAATTCCGATATATAAATACCAAAATATGCCATTTTCATAGAAATTCTTCAAATTGATATCATAATGATTCATCAGCAAAATGAAATCATAAACCCTTAAAGGTGTTGTGCATAAATGCTTATTAAATGATATATAACAAAAAAATCATTCTAATATTCACTAACTAATCTCGAAATTACCGATCCAATATATATGTCTGTCATTAGTTTCTCTGTTACTAAAACAAAAAAAGATAGTTTTTACAAAAATGGTGTAATCTATGAGATTTATAGAATTTAATTCATCAATATGATAATATAGATAGAGGAGTCTATATTTATACAATTTAAAATGTAATACATCATTGTTTGTGGCACGTTTAGGAAAAAATAAAAATCAACTAAATGAGACCTTCTAGCAGCAATTTATCTAATATGAATAATGATATAGTAAAAAATCCTGTGTGTAACGAAGAAGAAGACTTTTCGTATCAAAAGATACTAGAAAAGGCTAATTTCGATAATGCAATTGAAATTAGCAGTAAAATTAACGAAGTTATAGATCAAAATCAATCGTTATATGCACAGATCAGACAGATCTCACAAGATAATATAGAATTGAAAAATAAATTAAATATCGAGATTTCAAAAAACAATGAATTGAAACAATCAAATAAAAAATTAAATGAAAATATGATTTTCCAGCTTCATAATAAAGAAGAAACTTATAAAAAAGAAATTAATAAAATAAAGAAGAAATTCAATTTAGAAATGCAGAAATTATCACAAGATTTCAATAAAGCAATAAAAGAAAACCAAAATTTGAACACACAAATTAAAGAATTTATTGCAAAGGAACATCGAAATTTAGAAGCTATTTCGTTTTATTTTGATCATGAAATCACCTCATTTGATGATTTAATAGATTCAATCAGTAAGTTTTTCAAGCAAGACACCATTATTAAATCACCCAAAAATAAACCCGTTCAACAAAATGAAAAACTAAAACAATCGGCCAAGGATGATGAAATGAAACGCAAATATAAACTTCTAAGCTCAAAGTTAAAAGAAAAAGAGAGTGAAATCAAACAACTTCAAATGAAATTCGATGTTCAAAAAAATAATGTCAAAGATTTTGAAGTTAACTCGGCGAAAATATTGTCTCTGACAAGGAAATTAGAAAGCACTGAAGAAGATAAGAAATTGCAAGAAGAGGATTATCAACATCAAATTAAACTTCTAAACCTTAAAATCGAGAATTTGAAAACCGAAATTTTGAGACTTAAAAATAATTCAAATTCAACTCAAATAAATTTAGTCCAGACACCAATAAAGCAAGAAATCTTAAATAATTTCTCTCCTAAAAAAGATGAATTGAAACAGAACGATGATTCCACATATGAGGAACTGAATGCTAGAGTCAAAGAATTGTCTTCAGAACTCGAGAACGTTAACAAAGAACGTCAAAAATTAATTGAAAAAATCCAAATAACAGAAAATGAATTCGAAAATTATAAAATTAATACATTGAAGCAAGAAAATGATTTGAAGTCATTATCTGCCATCCATGAAGAGACTCTTAATGAATTAGAAAGTCTAAGAGATGCTCTTCATTCTCTTAACATCAAAAAGCAAAAGAAAGGTGTTAAAGCAATTAGAAAGATTGAAGAAGAAGCCAATAGCAAACTTGAAAAGGCTCAAACTATAGCAGATAACTACAAGCAGCAGATTAATGAGTACCAAATTACAATTACTCAATTAAACGAGAAAATCAATTTACTTAATTTAAGGAATACAGAAGTAGTAAAGGAAAATGATAATCTCAGTAAAAAATTAATGGAATATCAAGAAAAACTTGATGCAGAAGTTGCTAAAAGTGCTGACATCGTTTCAAAACAAGATAAGGAGGCAATTCCGATCTCATCCTGGTGTTTTAACGGATTCGATAAAAAGCTTTCTAATAAAATTGAATTCATTGGAAGGAATGAAAATCTGCAAACATCTTCCAAAATTCAAACTGCTTTCAATACAATTGCAAAGTTTTACAACAAGAGAATTAAAATATTAAATGATGAATCGTCCGCACTGAATCAACAGTTAGAATTTGTTAAAGACCGATTTTCTAAGTTTATTGTTGATTTGTCAATTGTAGTAATTGGAAAATCAACATCATTAGATGAAATTTTATCAAATAATGGGCAATACTTAATTAATCAAGTAAATTCCTTAAAGATTGATCATGATACTCTTTCTCGGCAAGTAAAAGAATTGTCAATCAAATTATTTAAGGTTAATAAATTGTTTGGCAAAGAAAGCCCAAAGAAATTCAAACAGCGCACAGAAAAATTAATAAATGAGATGCATACTAAAATTGATAGATTAGAAAGGAAATATAAGAAATACAAATCATCATTTTGCTCACTTAAATCATCTAAAGAAAATGATGACATCGAAATGAAGGCAAATCTTGAAAAGCTCACAGCAGAAAATAATCAATTCAAATCAGATCTTCAAGATCTAACAAAGACAAATTCAGAATTAAAATCACAAAATCAAGAACTCAATTCAAATCTCAGAAATGCAGAACATAAACTTGATGAAGAAAGCACAAAGCATAAACAAGAAGTTGCTGAATTAAATAATCAGCATGAAGCAGACAAAAGCAAACATATGAAGGATATGTCTGCGGAAATCAAAAGAGTTACAGAGCAATTGAAACAATCAAGCAATAATTGTGATGACAGTAAAGCGCAGATAAGCCGAATGAAAAATGTAATTGCTGCTCAAAAAGCTACAATTGAGCAAATTTCGGCAGATCGAGAATATCAAAAGAAAGTCAATGAAATTACTTTGAACTCTCAAGAAAAGAAATTCCAAGTTGAGAAAAAGCAAATTACTGAGTCTTACGAATCAACAATCAAAAATCTGAAAGACCAAATAAGTCAGCTTAACAGGGATATCATAAAACTTTCTTCAAAAGAATGAATCTTATAATTGTCTATATATTTGAATAAAAATCATTGTTTGTTGTTAACTATTTTCTATTATATAGTTTTAAAAAGCTTAATGAAAGCTGAATTTCTTTTTTACTCAATTATTGATTCAATCTTGTAGACATGGAGAATGGGATTCAATTAATTTATTGTTTTATTCATTGAAAAAGGAGATAAATTTCCTTCATCAGTACAAAATTGTACAATAAACTATCCGAAAAAAAAATTCAATATGAAATCAATGTTTTGTCACTTTTCTCGAATTTTTAGCGAAATGTTTTTATTCTTTTGTGTAGCAACTAGACAAACTGCCAAACTATGCTATGATGGTAACACTAATCAATGTCCTTCGGATTACCAGACATTTAATGAGAACAATTTCGCAAATTTGCAATCATTATTCGACGAATCCGAAACAGAAGCAACAATTCACTTATGTAAATCCATACCAGATTTTATGAAAAATCCATTATACATTGGAAGAAACATGGAGTTAACTTTTTCAAAATGCGAAACATTATCAGAGAATCCAAATATGTCAATTAGCATAGGTAGTGCAAATAGCCAAAGTACTATGAATTTCGATGATATTAAAGTTAATTTCAACGTTTCAGACTCAAGTTTTGAAGACAATTATTCTTTATTTTTCACAAATTCATATATCTACAAAAATGATGCACTTAATTTATCCAGATCATATTGTGACACAGATACATATTCATTCCCTTCCGTTTCTCAAATCAATTTCAAAAATATTAGTCTTTATGGCCCAGTCAACAAAATATATTTTGATACAAATAGTTCAATGAATGCAACATACATTTATCATGGTTCAGAAGTATTAGTTTATAAACCAAGTGAAAGTCAAAATCTATCCATATGTTCCGACCAAGTAATCACAATGGATGGTGTCCAGGATATTAAAATACCGTATACTATTTTAATCAGTGGCGCTTCGGGATTCTATTTTGGACCAGGTTTGAATTTATCTTTTACACTATATCTTAATTTTAGTTACAATAAAGTAATTACTGATTTTCCAGAATATGCTAATCTCTCTTCTAGTACTGATAACTCAATAACTTTGGAATTTGTAAACTATACAAACAAAGATAACGAATATCTGATTAATACCACCAATGTCTACTATGGTTCTACATTAAATATCACATCAACTTTTCATTTATATGTTGCGAATGTAAACTTATTTGATAGCTCAAAAATAAACCTGTTCAAAATTGAAAATAATACAATTACTCAAATCAAAACAGAAATTAAAGGGATAGTATTAAGAAATGGAGAATACACTCTTAAAAATTATATAATTCACGAATATGCCACATCATATGGTCAAACTAACATAACCTTAATTAATACAATCATGTATTCGAGCATAATTGCTGCCCTTAATTATGTAGATTACACAAAAATTATTTCAGAAGATAAAATATCAACTCCCCCTGCATATCAATTTTATCCTTATAATATGCCAGAAGATGCTTCACAATATGTTGGCAAGAAATACCCATATTTCTGCACCAAAGATATGAGTTGTTCTCAGTTTGATATATTGAATACTCGTTTTATTTTAATTTCACCACTTATGAACGAATTTGCTGTTGGTAAAGGTCTCAATTTCACGTGTGATGTGATTGATGGATATACATGTTTCGAATACCAACTTACATCTAATAGATATACTTCAGCTGTAATTGGCCTTAAAGAATATAAGACTACAAGTGGAAATATAGCAGTACTCATTGTTATGGCATTATTATCGCTGATTTCCATCGGCGTTATAGTTTTTTACGGATTCAAAAAATGATGTTTCTCCCTAAACCAAAATGAATTTATCTTTTTGTATAGAAATTTTGGAATTCTGATTTTTGTTGTTTTAGAATTTCCACTCCATAAATAAATAATAATATAGGGTGTCCAAAGGTGTGTTTAGCACAAACCTGAATACTGCGAATAGAAATAAACAAGTTACATATATATAAAGTTTATTTAAATATAATCACCATTGGATTCAATCACGCGTTCGCAGCGATCGATCCAGGCTTGAAAGACACGCTTTAAATCATCATGAGAAAATTGCTCAAATTGCTCTCTTACAAAATTTTCAAGATCATCTGGACTCGCGAATTCGCGTCCTTCAGCTCTCTTTTTTAGCGTGCCGAATAAATAAAAGTCAGAGGGTGCAATATCAGGTGAATAAATTGGGTTTGGAACAACTTTGACATTGTTTTCCACCAAGTAATTCATTACCTTATGACTTTTGTGAACTCTTGAATTATCAAAATGAATTGCAAACTTTTGTTTTTGTTGTTTGGATTTCTCAAACTCATCAGAATTGATAATTTGAGTAAGAACATTGTCAATTAGATACTGAGCATTCATCGTATTAGGTTTTTGAAGAATATCAATTGCGATGATGCCATTCACGCCCCAAAAAACCGACAACATAATCATTGGTGTGTTAATTTTTTTCTTCGGGAATGTTTGCGGATTTTCATCCTTCGGGATCCACATGATTTTGGCTTCTGTTGCATATTGAAACCAAGACTCGCCCTGTTACTAAAAAGCGAAACTTCTTGGATTGATACGCACCCAATATAGAGAGGAGCTCTTTCGAAGATTGGACTCTAGATTTTTTTTGAACTGAATTAAGGTTGTGCGGAACCCAACGTGTATACGCTAGTTTGTAGTTTAAATAATTGTGCAGATAATAACTGACTGTTGTACGTGGTATCTTTGTCATCTCCTCTATCCTTCTGAGTGATGCTCTTGGGTCTTCATCTAGCGCTTGAAGAATTGCTTTGATTTTTCTTTGATCCGGCGATTTTTGTCAATTTTTATGATGGGCGCCTTTTTGTTCATGAAGTGATACATCCTAACATGATACGTTACAGTGGAATAGCTAGGAGCATCCATACCGAAGCATTTTACCAATGTCTCGTAGATTTTTTTACAGTCTTTGCATTTTTTTGCAAGAGCGAGGATGTTTTCTTTATGATTCATTAAAAAAATGAAAAAAATCCCGCCAAAATTTCCCGCGAAACCGCCTCTTGTCTCAAAATTCATTTTATATCCCGGCATGGCGCCAAAATACAACATACTCATCATATACATATATTCATATTTTTTATTATATATTTATAATCAGCATATATCTCCTTTAATAGTCTCATATAGAGCGCTGTGCTAAACGCACCTTTGGACACCCTATATATTTCAATTAATTCATTTTTTCATAAATACCCATCGATAAAAAAAATCCGAAATAAAGTCAATAATATTCAGTATAATTGAAATTTTTTTTCACCTTCGGAATTAAATAACAGATTGTTTATGCATTTATGGACAATATTTTTTCTGAGCCATATGATATCTGACATAGTTTTGACATATCTGTTTGAGAAAACAATAAATATTTTTTATTTTATCAATTTTCCAAAACGCATGGCAATCTAAGTTGCAATTCATTGTCAAGAATTTGGTCCATCATCGGATTACCATCGTTTTTTGTAAATATAAGAATTTTTGCAATCAAAAGATAATTTTTAAAAATGATCTTTGGTCTATTTATATCGCATTCATATAGCGCAAATCAATATAATTATGATCAATCAACTAAGAAGTTCACAATCATAACTGATGAAAACTATACTGTCGATGATATCAAGAAAGTTTTCCAAACAACTATGGACTTCACTTCCTTAAGCATTCAAGGAACATGCAACAATATCCCATTACATGCTTTTGATGGTGCTTCTGAACTTACAACAGTTGAGATTACAGCTCCAATCACACACATTTATGGCTTCGCCTTTGCTCATTGCCAAAAGCTTACAACATTCACAGCTCCAGAATCACTTGAATATATTGGATACAATTGTTTTTCACAAGATATTGCTCTCGAAACATTTTATTGGAGAAACCATCTTATGACAATTAACTCTAATACATTCGAAAACTGTTCATCACTCACAACCTTCAAGCAGGTTGATGGTGATACAACTCAATCCGTCCAAGGTGTTGAAAAGAAATTTGGTGATTTCGTCTTTATGTACTGTGAAAAGTTGACAGAATGCCAACTTCCAAGTGATATTAAGACCCTTGGAAAGCAAGTCTTTGCTGAAACACCATCTTTGAAATCACTTGAATTTCCAGTCAACTACAAAAAAGTAGATGAATATGCATTCCAAGGATGTGCTCTTGAAAATGTCAACCTTGCTGATGTTGAAGTTGTCAGTTTCTTTGCTTTCTCCGGATCACAACTTAAATCTGTCACCTTCTCAGATAAGCTTCAACAGATCTGCGTCAGTGCTTTCGATGGCTGCAGATTTCTCACTACTGTCAATGGTCTCGATACCAATGAAAATTTCGTAATTCAAAATGCAGCATTTGAAGGATGCATTTCTCTTAAGAGTATGAAGATTCCAACAGGAATGACAGAGATTCCAGACTACATCTTTGCTGTTTGCAGCGCTATGACATCTATTAATCTTCATAACAATATCAAGAAGATTGGAAAACGTTCATTCTTCAACACCGGAATCACTTCAATCCGTGTTGGTCCATTAGTTGAAGAAATTGGAGAGGCTGCATTCGGATCAATGAAGGAACTTAAGGAAATTTCTGTTGATCCTTCAAACAAGAACTTTGCATATGATGATACAGGCAAATTCCTTTGCAATAAAGATAAGCAAGTAATCTACCTCTATCCACAAGAAAATGCTGCAATAAAGCTTACAATTCAGAATACTTTTACAACAATTCTTCCATATGCTTTTGCTTATTCAAAGAATCTTGCAGAAATTTCCCTTCCTGATGAACTCGTTCTTATTGGCGGCAATGCTTTTGAAGGATGCAGTAAATTGCAAGCCATTGTTTTCCCTAAGAAGGCAACAACCATATTTATGAATGTATTCGCCAACTGCAAAGCCCTTATTTCAATTGATATTTCAAATGTTGAAACAATTAATGATGATGCTTTCCGTGGCTGTGCAGCCCTCAAAGACATCAAATTTGGAACTTCATTACAATCAATCTCCAAAGAAGTATTCCAAGGTTGTTCAGCAATTCAAGTTTTAGATTTCTCTAATTGCCAAAATCTAACATATATTGGAGAATAAGCATTCAAATTCTGCAAAGGCTTAACAAAAGTTGTCTTGCCACCAAAGCTTAAGATTGTTCCAAATGATTGCTTCTTCTATTGCCAAGGCTTATCTGAAGTTGTTTTCGACGATCATCTCCAAGCAATCTGGCAGAATGCTTTCGGATATACAATAGCATTATCAACAGTTACACTCCCACCTCAGTTGAAGGAAATCCAACAACGCGCATTTGCTCATTCAGGATTAACAGAAGTAACAATTCCAGCAATGGTTAACACCCTCACAAGATATTCCTTTGCTAGCTGCGATAAGTTGGAATCATTCCAAGTATTTGGAGATATCCTTAAGATGGAAAGATGCGTATTTTTCCGTTCCAACAATCTCAAGCAAATAAAGTTTGGCGGATTCATTGATGTCGTTGATGAGTTAGCTTTTAATGGAACAATCGGACTTAGGAACATCACATACTGTGGATTACAAGCAGTTAATGGTGAAGCCCTTAAGAATCATGAGCCACATGGTATTCAAATTAATGTTCTTGTTGCATCTGATTACCAAGGCACAACATTTATGGGTGTTCCAGCAACAAAGGAATCATCAGCCTGTTCACCAAGAAGAACACCAGAACCAACTGCAAAGCCAACAAAGGAGCCACTTCCATCTAAGAAAGTCATTATTATAGCATCAGTTGTAGTTGGATGTGCACTCATTTTGACAGCGGTTATAGTTATTTTCGTTGTTAAATGCTGCATGAAGAAGAATGGTTGGATTAAGAAGGAGACTTTAACAGAATCTCTCCTTACACAATCAATTTAAATAACTCTTTTATTAAAAAAATACTTGACTTTTTTTTATAATAATTTTTATTTTCATTTTGAAATTAAAACTTTTGAAAAAGATAGTTTAATTGATATTCCTTATTTTTTGGGACCTGGGTAACGTTTGGAAATTAAGAAATCTTGGATTTCTCCATAGTTTTGCAAGCCTTTAAAATTGAATGGTGAACGATATTCATTTATTTTTCTTACATCGGCGCCAAATGATATAAGGATATCGCATAATTCCAAATAAGAATACTTGACCGCATAATTAAGTGCTGTGTTACGATCATTATCCTCTTCATTTACATTTGCGCCGTATGAAATAAGCAATATTGCCATATTTTTATTATTCTGTTGGCAAGCTGTCATTAGAATACTTTTACGATTTATATCTTGGTCATTTACATTTCGAAATAATTTTTAATTACGGCAAGATGCAGAGCAGTTTCCTTTTTTGCATTATGTGCATCTACATAGATGCCACGCGATATCAAATATTTTGCCATTTCCAAATTATTTGATGAAACAGCCAAGTGAAGAGCAGTCAAGCCATCATTACTTCGAACATTGATATTAATTCCTTCTGAAACCGCATACTTTGCTATTTCAAAAGAATTAAATCTTGCTGCATAGTGAAGAAGATTCCATTTATTAGAATCCTCTGTATCGATATCTGCACCATGAGAAACAAATGCTTTTATGCATTCTAGATTTAATTTCGCCATTGCAACCTGGAAAGGAGTTTGATTGAGAAAATTTTGTGTATCCGTTTTAGAACCTTTTTTAAAAAGATATTCAATAGTTGGTTTGAAATTAGACTCTGCGGCATAATGTAGAACTGACATTCTAAATTTGTCTCTAGAATTGATATTTGCTCCATGTGCAATTAAGTATTCGTAAAGAAAAATATTTGGCAGCTGTAAATATGGTGAATAATTGAGGCATTTTTGGTAATTCCATGTAGATTTCAAGTAAATGCAAAATGCATGTATATTATTATAATCTCCACACCAATCTAATGGAATATCGCATTTGTGCTGAAATCTTAGCATTGAGACGTATGAAACATTATGTGAAATTATGGCATATCTCATTGCCTCTATGTATGGTTTATTATTTACCATGCATTGATCAATCATTTCTCGTTTTCCTCCCAAAAACGAGAATTGAAGACATTTATTAGTAATCGCATTGAATTTAGGGTTGTTAAAAATATCAAAAATTAGCGTTTTGAAGACACCATGGTGTCTTATAATTTTCCCTTCCTTATTGGCGTGTAGAAATAAATGCGCCAATAGATTGAAGAAGAAGAATTGTTTTTCTCTTAATGAACTTTAATCCTTTTGATATAAGAATATTAAAAACATTAATATAATTTCGATTTCGGAAATTAAATTTCCAAATTTTTTGTCGATTTCGGAAATAACAGGATCCCGCATCCAACACGCAACAACAAAACACAAAACACACTTTTTGGTTCTTTCATCGTTTTAATCGTAATTTATGTAATACATGATTTGGATAAATTTTACAAAAATAGAACCTATATTATATTCTTTTCAAAGATTCTTGCAAATCATCAAAAATAATTGTATTTTAAAAAACGATCAAATTATCCTTTCATTATTTTAAACTTAAATTAGTTTTTATGATTGGCTAAAGCAATCATATTTATTCATCATTAAATAAACAAAAAAATAATATTTGAGAGTTATTTCAAAAAAAACACATTGAATTTATTAATTTGTCTCAATTTCAGTATTATAAATTTTTATAATTTCAATATTTTGAAATACACTTTTTAATATTTCAATATTTATGATATTTCAATGTATTAAGTGGTCTCAAATTGAGCTTCTCAAATATAAGTTGGCCTATTCAAATAATAAAATTAAATAATATTTAAAATAATAAATAAAAGTGATTGAGGTCATAGCAAAATGGCTGTTTCAGTCATTAATTCTTAAAAATAAAAAGGGTAAAAACTAAATAAAATGGGTAAAATTCAATAGTGTCTGTGCTATCGTTCAATTTGAAGGTGTCTTTTGAAACCGCAAGACACATTGAATTTTTGAATAGTGTATTATGGTTTGACAGACACCAATGAAAAAAATAAAATGATATTTATTTTAAATATATAAGATCCTTATATAAAATATAAATATTTTATCGTTTTATTTTCTTATTTTAGAAATGTTTTTTATTGAAAAATCAATAAAACTAACAACCCTAATTGAATTTTGTTCTTAGATAATTAAAGCAATTAATTGATCCATATTAGCAGCTTAATTCAAGAAATGAAACTCCATTACCAAATGGAAATGGATAAAAATAGCTTTTTACTCCTTCATCTAAATTGAACCCTTCTTTTTCTGTAAACTTTTTTAATAACTGTAAATCATCGTCCATAATTGCTCTGCCTATAGTGTTTTTTGCATGAACATCGAGTGAATATTTTTTCGAATCAAATTCATCAAACTTTGTTTTATCATCCTTTGATAGAATTCCATATTCTTTATAGACAAAGTATCTAAAAACATCTTGAATTGAAGCTAAATTTGAAAGATGATATTCATCAAATAATTTCTTGAATAGAAGCCAATACGACTTGAAGAATCTGTTGTTGAATATAGCTGTCCATGATATTTTCTCTAAAATGTATGTAGCAGTATAAATTTTGGTATCTAGAAACTTACTTTTAATATCTTGATATAAAGTGTTTATTTCCTTTTCGTTGAATGTTTTGAGTGTGTATATACGATCAAAAATATCAATATAATCTCGATACTTATCAGTTATCTCACGGAGCTCGTTTCCGCACATGAAACAAAGAAAAAAATAAAAATTATAGAAAACAATGAAAATCATTTTTATCACATAATTTGTATGAAAACTTTGCATTTCATTTTAAAAATATTGAAAAATCAAATTATGATAATTTTCATTATTCTCGAATTTCCATCAAAAAGCCAATAATGAACAATTTATGTGATTATATATTAACTGCAGGATAGTCAACTGAAAATAAAAGTTGTAATTAGAATTCAAATCTCAATTTTTCATAATATACACTTAAGATTCTGCAGATAGTATAATATTGTATATTCTATTGTAAATGCGTCTTTGATTTTGCTTTAATGCAAACTAATTGAAATCAATTTTGTTTGTAGTCATTTTTATGATGGAAGTACGCCTTGTTTATCTATTTTACATGAAATTATGACTATCTCGCATATAAAACAATATTATAAATTCAAAAGGTGGGAAACAAATTTCCGAAGGCAAACTCTTCTTTGAAACAAAATAATTTTTTTTTCAAAAAAAATGCTTTCAGGAAACCAAAATGTTGATTTAATAGGAAGATTATTGAAGATGAGGAGCACAGCTATACCATATAACACAGAATTTCTAAAAGATAAGCTTCTTGTCTTTTCATTATTCGTAGAAAATGCATCATTTTGCATTTTAGCGAAGTCTGGAAACTGTGTGATCATTGATTGTGGTATTGATTGGGCTGTACAGCTAAATGCCGAAGCTTTAGCTATGGATATCGATCAAATCATTACAACATACCAAGTTAAAGCGATTATCATTACTCACGAGTATTTTGATCACAACAAATTAACAGATGTTATTAAAACGGCTAAATCCAATATTCAACAAGAAATTCCTGAATTCAGAGTTGGAAAATTAAATGAATTTTCACCAAGTCTCTTAGATACTTTCTTACCAGGTGTCAAATTCGATTTATTATACCCAAAGAATATCAGAGGTGGCTCTGATATCCATATTTACAAGCAACAACTCGTATATGTCAAATATGGCAAGACTTCTTTGTTTTTCCCAGGAGATTCCACTCCAGATACGCTTGAAAACGTCAAAGAACCAGAATTATTCAAGCCAGGAGATGAATGTACAATATATTTCTGGCAACATCACGGATCTAAGTATAACGGCAGTACAACACTCTACAACCTCAATCCGAAGTGTGTAGTATTCAGTGCCGGTCCCAGAGTTCACCAATCAAGTGCAAAAGAGGATGGAACTTCAAGTTATTACGGATTTCCAAACCAATCAATCGTAGTACACGCTCTTAGCAAGGTCGATGACAGTGAACTCCATAATGTCCATCTTTTCCCCGATTTCTTGGCCGGATATTCTGATTTAACACCAGAATTCCAGAAATGCTTGACAGACTCGGCCATTTACACAACCAGCTTCTGCGAGTGCTTGTTCGGATCGCAATCCATCAAAGGAACAGTCATTATGGTCGATGAAAACGAAAATTATAATATTTTGAAGACTCCTTATCATCTTACAGAGGAATTACCAGCAAAAATTGATTACCAGTACCAAAACCAGGCTGATTTGATCAGTTTTGTCCTGTTTGGAACCGGAAAAGCCTCAGAAAAACAAAATCTTTTGTATTTTACAGCCAAAAACTATCTTTTTACCAGAACAATATCAAAATCATCATTCAAAGGATTCGCCAACAGTGATGAATTCCTCTATTTCCTCATGTCTCTCGTTTGGGAGCTGATTTTGACCAGATCTTTGCTTTTGGAGACAGAATTGGCCAAATTCCCATTCATATCTGTCTCCTTTAGTGACTTGTTGACCGGATACAAGTACCAGCATCTTATTTCGGACGCAATGAAGAAATTATTTTTAATCCACAGAGGATCGATGCGAAACTTCCTCACTCCGCTCATTGGTAAGGAACTAAAGCGTCATCACACAGGAAATCCTTTCAAATTTGTCACTTTTGAAAATCTTTATCTCAGATTTTCGAATTCCATGGATCTTTCTGGTTCAATGATGACTATTTCCAACACCAATGCTCCTTACGAACCAATTCCGATCGATTTCGTCAAAGAAGGACGAGAAATCTATGAATATTTTTATTCATTGAAAGGAGTTGATTCAATTTTCAATTTAGTTGTTAACCACATCAAAACACGTGATGACAACATGTTCCTGCAAGTTCCTTCTAAGAAATTCCTCGCAGAACTCATGAAAAGACTCGAAACAGAAATAAATAAAATTTCTGTCACTTTTTCGATTTCAAAACAAAGTGAAGAGATCATTACATTTTGTTGCCAGTGTTTAGGCTTTGTAGGTGATGTTATTAAGAATGTTTACATGAAGACGGGCATCTTAGTTCTTCCTTCTAAGCCTCCTACAGAACTTTCCATGCATTTTGTTGAAATTTTGAACAACAAGAAAGAATGGAAAGTTTTTGTTTCGATTCCATCGAATATTTCTCTTGTTTATCTCTCTGAGAATACGAGAGTCTTGTCTGATATTGGAAAAGGCCAAGTTGTTGAACATTTGGCGAATTTCTCTGAAAGATTCTACAGATTCAGAACAATGCAGTTTTACCACGAATACCCGAAAGATTACGACTTCCAGAAGTATATGGCTGATGACGGACTTGTTTCCAAATGGAATCCAAACATTTCTTCCGCACAGTTGTGGAGAAATGATTCTGATTCGAGCGAGGAATCAAGTGATGATGACATGAATTACGGCGGATGGAAAGTAGACACAAACACTTCCCACACTTTCAACAGATTCGCTCAGAAGAATCTATGGAATCAGGTCAATACTGGATCTGGATATAAAGGTGACTCTTTCTTTTAGATGAATAAAGTTTATATCTATATTTGATAATATCTTTTTATATTTTATTCCCTTTATCTTTATTTATTTATATTTGATGGTAGATCTCATATATTTCCTTCTGATTGTCTTTATTGATTGGATAAACTTATTTTGCTTTATATTTGATAATATCTTTTTATATTTTATTCCCTTTATCTTTATTTATTTATATTTGATGGTAGATCTCATATATTTCCTTCTGATTGTCTTTATTGATTGGATAAACTTATTTTGCTTTATATTTGATAATATCTTTTTATATTTTATTCCCTTTATCTTTATTTATTTATATTTGATGGTAGATCTCATATATTTCCTTCTGATTGTCTTTATTGATTGGATAAACTTATTTTGCTTTATATTTGATAATATCTTTTTAAGTTATATTCTCTTTATCTTTATTTATTTATATTTGATGGTAGATCTCATATATTTCCTTCTGATTGTCTTTATTGATTGGATAAACTTATTTTGCTTTATATTTGATAATATCTTTTTATATTTTATTCCCTTTATCTTTATTTATTTATATTTGATGGTAGATCTCATATATTTCCTTCTGATTGTCTTTATTGATTGGATAAACTTATTTTGCTTTATATTTGATAATATCTTTTTATATTTTATTCCCTTTATCTTTATTTATTTATATTTGATGGTAGATCTCATATATTTCCTTCTGATTGTCTTTATTGATTGGATAAACTTATTTTGCTTTATATTTGATAATATCTTTTTATATTTTATTCCCTTTATCTTTATTTATTTATATTTGATGGTAGATCTCATATATTTCCTTCTGATTGTCTTTATTGATTGGATAATCTTAATTTCTTTATACTTGATGGTAGATCTCGTATATTTTGTTCTCTTTATCTATTTATATTTTATTCTCTATATCTTTATTGATTAGAGTGTTAGGAATATTATCTCATATATATATAGCCTCACTAGGCCTGGTATTTCAAAAATGGAAGGGGTTTTTCTTCACACTTTAGATAAACTTAATTTCTTTATATTTGGTGATAGATCTCATATATCTTATTCTCTATATCTTTATTGATAATAAAATGTTTGTTCATTTGTTAAATGTTTATTTTCTTCCCTGAATACAAATTCAGCAACATCATTTACAGTAGGAGATGCAAATTTATATAAATAAAAATGTGTTTCTCTATCTGATGTATAATTATAAATTACTTGTTCGTTACTATTTTTGATTTAAATGAAGACTAATTGTGTTTCTGACATCTGGATCAATAACACCATAGTTAAACTTAATTGTAGCATAGAAACGATAAGTACTTAATCCATTTACTTGTTTGATACCTAGTTTTTGTGCAAACCTATCATAAATCTCTAATATTTTAAATTGATTATATTATGTTTTTATCATATTAAACTTAATTTCTTTTTATTTGATAATATGATACCCATCAATCTCCTTATCTTAAGTTATTCTGAAAAATTCAAAAACATTTTTGTATTTTTAACATCAAGTAAAAAAATTAATATCAAGTTGAATTTAATTTGTGATTTTAAAAAATGGTTATGTTGAGCTGTTCTCCCTGGAATAAGCAATAATTTAGTAGTATATTTTAATATCATATGGGCAAAATTGATTCTAATCTCTTATATAAGAAACTTACTTCCATTATAGAAGCAGAAGTTGAAATTGTAATTTCTGCTTTAAATGAAAATTATGCATTTTTATGCCATTAAGATTAATATTAAATTGTGTTCAGTTCAATTTTGCGTAAGAATAGCTAAATAAGCACGCACAGACAAAAAAACTATATCTGTGAGAATCTTGCTGGCTGCTAATTTAAAACGTAAAGAAGCTAATTAGTGTAAACAAACTACCCAGATTTGCTTTACTTTTACCACCTCTCGAAAGCTGGGGACACCGCCTATCGTTGGGAGTAGCTATTAAATAGAACCACCAAGGGTATTTTTCGAACTGCCGGTGTAGTGTAGTGGAAACATCTGACATAATGATTCGTTATGCCAAGGTTTGATTCCCATTTAGCCAATTTTTTTCTTTTTTGGATCATGAATTTTTTTTTGGGTCACTATAAGATTTGTTTCATGTTCTAAATCTGCTGCATATGTAATCTATTTTTATTTACCTATTTTTTAAAAATCTATTGGATTGCCAAATTTGAATATATTTAAAATCATAAAAATCCAAAAAAACTATAAATATATGTTTTATGCATAGTGCCGATACTCAAATATCAGATTACTTAAATCCATGAATAATATCCGAATTTTTTTTCTTAAAATTAAACTTCAAAACTTCTTCCAATCTTATTCTTAATCAACTGTAAATTTTTAAAACCATTTTTTAAAATAATTTTGCGTAAATTTTATTCTCATGTTGTTTTAATCGAAAATTGATACATTTTCAAAAAAATAATATTGACTTATGAAATTCATTTTTAAGGTGAAATAGTATTGTTTTTATTAAAGTATATGAATAATATATAAAAAATTAATGAATAATATAAGCAGATTTTTAGTTTACAAACAAATATGAGCAATGCAATTTCAAACTTTTGCTGGCAATTTCGATATTGCTCAAGTTTGTAGTATTTGTGATACCTATAACATCGGCTTAATCAAAATTCGATTTTTCTTATGAGTTATTGAGAAAATTTGATTGCAATGAGAAGGATTTCGACGTTTTTGATAAACTAAGAGCTGAGCTTTAGGGGTTCAGTTCATTTATGGCTGTAGTTTGATGCGTAGATCTCTTTTTTATTGTAAATTCTTTCAGCATGGAGATCGAGAATGAATCTTTTGAGAACTTTATGAGTTTTTACACCCGTAAAGAGGTCCTTCGAGGAAAGATAGTCCAGACTACATGAAGATGTGGGTTAACCAAAAAAATCCGATGGTTTCCCCATATTCATGTAGATCTTCGAAAAAATGAGCACCAAAAAAGCCAAAAAAATAGGCTTTTTATTGGATTTGTACACTAGATCAATAATCTATTTAGGATCTGACACTCTTTTTAGCCAGAGATATGAGGTCCTTTCTAGGAAAACGATCTATTCATCCATAAAAAAAAATGAATTATCGTTTTCCCCAGAAATTACATGGGGAGTGGTAAAAGTAAAGCAAATCTGGGTAATAATATTTTTTGACAAAAAAATGGTAAGAATAGGTCAAAAGGTGAAGTCTTAATATTTGAGATACTATCAAAAATAAATAAGCCTTATTCATCTAAAGCAAAATATAACCTTAATATTTGAAAAAAATAATGAATAAAGAAAGTCAAAAATTCACAGGTAAACAATATTGATATAAGGTCAGTAAGTGAATTCTTAATATTTGAGATGCTATCCAATATAAACAAAAATTATTCATCTAAAGCAAAGTACACACATAATATATGAGATAAATTTTAAATAATCGAACTCACAAAAAAAATTAATTTTGATATTTTTCCATACAGGGTTCCGATTTATTTTGATTCATGATTCATGAAGATAGTTGAATGGATCCATATGTATTGTTGTCGTGCACGGTTGTTTACATCTTTTCACGCTATTAATTTCATTATTCTGAATTTTAAAATAAAGAAAGTCAATTTTTCGAATAAATTTTTAAATCGACTCTGCCTCTGATGTACTAATAACATTTTCAATAAAATAAAAATATTTTATTTGCTTCAAACTTATATGTTTTATATTTAGAAAGTATGATGACCAATTAAATCGATATACTAAAATTAAATTGAAAATCTCAAACTTTTTTTTCTTACAAAAAAATCTACGTATATAAACTCCGGGTATATTTATTACAAATAGCAACGTTAATTATGACAATTTAAACAGTGCTATTTCATATTTCTTTCGGAATTTCAAATGGAGTATTATCTAGAAAGTTTTCATGTGAAAATGAATCATTATAGGAATTAAAATCGAATTGTTGAAATAGGTCGAATTCATCTGTTGAATCGGTGGGAACACTAACTTCCTCGCTTTTATTTCCAATGATTTGTACATCTTTTAGTCTGCGCTTCTTTTTTCGAAGGAGAGCTGGTAATCCCCGCGTTGTGCAATCAACTACCATTTCTGTTTCTTTTCTTTCATCAATAACGAAACTCTTGATTTTGATTTGAGATTTCTTCATGAAGTGAAAATGATTTCTCTATTAATACTTTTTGTGAGAAACATTGAATTCAATTTTTACATGGTTATCAATTTCGAAGTTAAAATAATGATTTAAATGTTATCTATTGGAATGAAAAAAAAGGTAGTGGGGCTTCCAGGCGCGTTGCGCCCTCTAGCCCTGAAGATGTTTAGTATAAATGAAGTTTATATTCGGAGGGCTTCCAGGCGCGTTGCGCCCTCTAGCCCTGAAGATGTTTAGTATAAATGAAGTTTATATTCGGAGGGCTTCCAGGCGCGTTGCGCCCTCTAGCCCTGAAGATGTTTAGTATAAATGAAGTTTATATTCGGAGGGCTTCCAGGCGCGTTGCGCCCTCTAGCCCTGAAGATGTTTAGTATAAATGAAGTTTATATTCGGAGGGCTTCCAGGCGCGTTGCGCCCTCTAGCCCTGAAGATGTTTAGTATAAATGAAGTTTATATTCGGAGGGCTTCCAGGCGCGTTGCGCCCTCTAGCCCTGAAGATGTTTAGTATAAATGAAGTTTATATTCGGAGGGCTTCCAGGCGCGTTGCGCCCTCTAGCCCTGAAGATGTTTAGTATAAATGAAGTTTATATTCGGAGGGCTTCCAGGCGCGTTGCGCCCTCTAGCCCTGAAGATGTTTAGTATAAATGAAGTTTTTATTCGGAGGGCTTCCAGGCGCGTTGCGCCCTCTAGCCCATAAAAAATTTCTGAGGACGAGCCAGCCGTTGACTTTTTTGTAGAGCACTCAAAATAGTATAACCTTGTCCGGACAAGTAAGGGTCTATCGTCGCTACAGGAAAAGTTACAGGCGTTCCAAGGAAGTATACTTTGAGAAGCCTTTTCTCCCTTTTAAAACAAGATAGGACGGTTATTTTACAAAACTGACAACACTTTGACCGAGTAGTTTTTTTGTGCTGAACAAAAAGTGTCATATAAACATCTGTCAAAAACCGTTTTTTACTTCACTTAAAATGCCACGTAAGCTACGTAAGAATATACGTAAGAGGAAGGGAGCATTGAAACATCCAATAGTAAAACTGACACCACAACAACAGTTGCAACAACAAATGATGAATGACCCCACTATGTTGCAACAAATGTCAAGCAACCCTATGCTTTTAAACCGAGTTATTGGTGCACAGAGTGGAGGTTTAAGAGCGGCACTTTTAGCGAAAATGGCAGGCTATGGTGGAGCTGCAGACGGAACAGCTTATAACCCTCAAAGTCAAATGAATTTGAGTTCACTCAAAATCAAATAACAGATGTCAAAAAGTCAAACATAGACATACAGAAACAAATAAGTGAAAACGAAAAGAAACTAGAATATGACAGACACACAAAGAAACTCAATGAGTTAAAACGTAGAGAAAAAGAAGAAGAAGAACAACTGAAAGAACTAAGTACAGAGGAATATGCAAAAAAAGTGTCAGAAAAAGCAGCAGAAGTAGCAAAAATGGAACAAGATGTTATAAATTTGAAAAACCATACTACTCAATATAAAGTACTGAAAGATGAAGAGATAAAACAAAAAGCCCTGAAGACATATATGGATAGCGATGAGTATAAAAAAGAAGTTGAAGCAAATGTAAAGGCAGAAAAACTTTTACAGTTGCAAAACCAAACCGTACAGTATGAAAACTTAGCACAAGAAAGTAAAAAATAACGACGCAGCCATGCAAAAGGCAATGAAAAGTGCAGAATATATAAAAGCTAATAATGACTGGTTAGATGCCCAAGCCAACGCTAAAGCAGCCCAACTTATGGGTCAATAAGGACAAAAATACAAGCGGATGAAGACAGTTCAAATGAAGCTTTAATGAATGCTGACTTTAAGAATGCCTTCGAAGCTCTTCATAGTAAGGTGAAACTAGTGAACGACTTCTCATCTGGAAAGAAACTGAAGTCTGAAGGTTTCGACAAAGAGTTAAGAGAAGTAGCACAAAATATGACGAAAATAACAGATGCAGCAACGAGACAGGCAGTTCAAAGTGCCTATGACGCCGTTAGAGCAACTGTTGTGGAAAGTCAAGAAAAAGAGTTACAACAGACCAAAACAGACCTAGTAAATGCTTTCTTAAGAACGAAAAGTCAGGTAGGACATTATGCTGCAGATGGAACATATGTGCCAGCTGGTGGAACTTATATACCACCAAACCCTCCAAGAGAAGCACCTGCACCAGGACTACCTAAAACATTTACATCGTCACATGGACACAGACACAGGCATGCACCAAAACCAACACAACAACCAACAGTTCAAAATCCAGCACCACAACAACAACCAAAACCAACAGTTCAAAATCCAGCACAGCAACCAACAGTTCAAAACCCTGCACAGCAACCAACAGTTCAAAATCCAGCACCACAACCAAAACCAGCACAACAACCACCTCCACAACCAGCACAGCAACCAACAGTTCAAAACCCTGCACAACAACCACAAACAGAGCAAGGACATAAAAGAAGTAGAGAAAAAGGAAACCAAGAATTCTTAAAAATGCTTAAGGAAGATTATGGTTACCCAGATACTCTTGACTTTAGTGACAGATATAAAGAAGCTATTAGAAAGTTCAAGGAAGGAAATACTGACCCGAACCTATTTAGCTTTATGGTTCAGCATCAAATGGGATATAATCTCAAACCTGGAAAATACAAGCTCGCTAAGGGATATGATTTAATAGCATATCATCCAAATGACATGAATGAATTTACTCCGAGATATTTGGTGTCAGAGCTAAATGATAATTCAACTCTCTTCATGAAACGCGTAAAAAATAGAGACGGAACGAAAGAAGAAAGGTTTATGAGTCCGGATGACTTAGATAGGGAACTTTTTAAAAACGGTCTCGGAATATATGAAATGCCAGCAGATGAGGTACAAGAAACTCAACAGGAAGAAGTTCAGAGACAACCAGACATGGAAGAAATAGTTCAGCAACAACGGCTAGAAGAGCCTGAAGGAAACGAACAAGTCCCTCCTTTGGAAACTAACTTCACAGAACTAGATGAAGATTTGGAACAGCCGAAAAATCTTGACCCTCAACAAGTGTATGCGGAGAATATGGAATCTTTCCAAGAGTCTAAGAAAAATTCGGCTGACATAGTAGAAGAATATCGAAAAATGTTCACCGACATACAAAAGACTCCAACATCAGATGAAAATATTCAGCATAGAATGGAAGTACTGAAAGAAAATGTACGCAAATACAATAATCCTTTTTACTTACGACCATATAACGTTCAATCTTTGGCTGAACTCGGTGAAAATAAAAGGTTAAATTTCAACAAAACATATAGAAATGAAACATTGTTTAAAGTTCATTCAGAACCTAACCAATATGGAAACAAACCTACTTTTGTTTCTGCAGACTATGGAACTACAATGAGATGGGGTCATAAAGCTAATCCGGATAGGTGGTTCATAAACTTACAACCTCAATTCCAAGAAGTTGTAGACGCAATGGAAGTGAATGGTGAACCAGATATAACGGGTATTTTCAGCGCGGCTTTAATGCCATTGAAAGATATGAAAGATGCAGATATTTTGGACCAGTATGAAATGAACATGGCTGATGGAAATATAACACCTGACGTTCTAGAACATTTATCTCAAAGAACTACACAGAACCATAGAGATGGTATATTTGGTGAAGAGTTTAGAAAGAAAGTTAGGGAGAGAGAAGGAAGAGAACCTATTGTACATGACCTTGCAAACGAAAGTTTGCAAAATGTCATAAAAACTTACTTTGCAGACAATGAACCGAGAAGGGATGAATATTTAAGAAAACTCAAATGGACAGTACCAAATGAAATGTTAGTATTGAAAAACATGTTCCTTGACAAAATAAAACCAACTACAGAAATAAATGACGCAAGACTGAAACGTTGGGTAAAAGCTTTCCCATTCACAAAAGATATTATTGGTTACATGGAAAGAAAACCAGAATGGCTACAAAAACATATATTTGGAAACGAGCTTATTCCATATGGACAAGCTCTGTTTGAAGAGCTTGAACCGGAAACTCAGGAAAGAGTCATGCAAACAATACGCGAAGACTCAAATACAAACTATGACAAAATCTTTCTAGGATATAGGTTACCTGAGATGGGCGACCAGAGCCCAAAGGCAAAAAGGACATGGGAAATTTACAACATACTAGGTGAACATGAGGCAAAGATGCAACAACTTGAAGCAGAGGGCAAGTTACCAAAAGCGACACCAAAGAAGAAGAGTAGAACAAAGTGAAAGTAGTGAAGAAGTAACTTCATCTAGTGAAAGTAGTGGCAATGAAGGAAAAAGAAGAGTTAAAAACTCAGTCAGGAAGAAAGTAAAGCTTGGTCCGAGTGGGTTCTATTATGATATATAAATCCAACTATTCTATATTTTTACCCATATGAAATGTACGCCGCTCAGAATATAACGCCAACAGTTTTGGATGCCATGAACGGAAATGTTTCCGAATGGTATAACGAATGCGACAATGCCATTAGAAGGTCAGAAATAGTTCCTGGAACTTACGAATATACAACTGCTGTTTCTTATGGAAACGTAGGTGAGTTTGGAGAAGGTTCTTCAACAACAGTAGATATTGCTTGCGACAGGTTTCATATTATTTCTATTGACAACTCATTCTTATCCGTGGAACAAGATATTGAAATAAAACCTTCTGCCAAGTTGTCTGACAAGAAAGGTTGCAATGGAATTTTCTATGTCGGATACCAATATGCTCCAGAAGTTTTCATGGGATATAAGATATATTCTAACTCTGACTTAGTTCAAACAGTAACATGGGCAAATTATGAATGGTTCGCTTTGAGAAACTCAGTACAACCACAAGCTAGAGAACAAACAGACCAGTATGCAACTATTGAGAAAATAAGAAGACTTGACCCTAACGTTCCAGGAGTTTATGTTAACCTTTCTGGTTCAGATGGAACTGCTGCCACTAAAGTAAAACTGAAACTTAGAGTTCCTTTGTCATCTTTCCTCATCTTCAGGTTTTTAAGATACTTGCCAAACTGGGCAGGAAAAATTTCTATCGAACTTACTCCAAGCAAAAATAACTTAGTCATTGCACCAACACAAGACCCATTCACTCTTACAGACGTAAAGGGAACAAATAAAACGTCATTCGCCGAATTTTGCAAAGGCAAGGTTGACTTAGACTTTGGTTTCTCAAACTTCAACAATGAAGTAAACTATTATTTCAATGCTGCTGGAGATGCTTGGGACCCAGTTAAGTTCACATGCGAAAAATTTGAATGCAAGAGAATAGAAAGCAGACTTGCCGTTTATATGTTGGACCCAGATATTTCAAATGCTTTAGCTGCCAAATATATTGCAGTTCCACTTATGTTCCCTATACACCAAATATCTGTCAAAAACTTTGCAGGTGAAGTTGGAAACCAAAATCCGGGAGCCGAAGGTGCAAGAACAGATATTGCTTTAACAACTGCAATGAAACATGCAGATACTATGTTTGTACTGTTCAGACGAACTATAAATGACTATTCTTGTTTCTACAACCCTGGTATTAAATATCATATAAACATAGATGGCAAATATTATCCAAGAGAAGAATATTCTACAGTTGAGGATATGAGGTCATACAACTTGACATTAGATGCTATGAACTTTAACAACAACTTCACAACAACCATTAACCCTGAAATGCAAAGTTCTATTATGCCATATGTGAAAGTATGGACTCATACAGGAGGTCAAAAAACTCAATATACAAATGGCGACCGTTCAAACTTTTGGCTTGGCATTCCATTTGCTGACTCAGAAGACTTTATGGGTGGTATTTCAACTGTTGGTACTGTACAAATACAATATACTGGTGACAGAGACGGTCCAGATGAATTGAGAGCAAAGAAGTTTACAAAACCAATAGCACTTTTCACGGAAGATGCTCTTTTGAAGATTCGTTCGATGAAACCTGCTGGGGCTCCTCAGATTGGCATAACGACAGCTTCCATCGAGCAGATTTTGGCAGCAGGTCAGTAAGTTGTTCTTGAACTGACTTCTCTCCGTCAAATATTGACAGTACGCCAGTTTTGACATAATATTGTATTATAAACTTTCCTTTAGTAATATCGGTCAGTTTTGAAGTTATATTTTTGTCTGCTTCAAGAACTTTCACCATTTCAGTTATACCAACTTTCTTTGCTTTATGAAAATATTTTGGTTCAGCAAATATTGCTATTCTATAACATTTTCCATTGTTTGTGTAAAGAACTATTCTGTCAATGTATTTGTATTGTTTGTGAGTATAAACTTTGTTCTGCTTCAATTCAATAAGATATCCGAATACGTCCATCTTTTTATTCTAAGTAAAATGTCATTTCCGAAAAATAGAAGCGTAAGTGTTTCAAAAGGTTTAATGGCGGTGGCAGATGTGAAGTTAAATTCACCAACTCAAACAAACAGTCAAAGTGTTGTTGTCAATGTCAAAGACAGAGATGTTGAAGTGGGGAAACCATACGAAGACGAAGATGGTATAACAATTGTTCCTGTAAAAGAACCAACATATCCTGAAGTTAACAGAGACTTAAGTTCTGTTGCAGATATTCGAAACGACTACCAACAACTGAAAGACAAACTTCAAACTCAGGAGAAGATTTGTCAAGCTTTAAGTATAATGTTAAACTTGGTCGAACACAACCCTGTAAAAGTGAACTCATATGTCATTGCACCTCATGAAGTTTTGAAAGAACTATTGAAACTTTTGACAGAGGCAGACGAATATAAACATCAAAGAAATAGAACCCGACATTAGTTGCTGTGGTGTTTCATATAATGTCATTGACAAGATATACGTTATGAAAGGAGGTGAAACGTTGAACTTAAAATATAGTTTCCCAGACGTTATAAAAATATTTGACGACCACAACATTTCATTAAAATTTATTTGCTAAGTAAATGGCAGAAGACATAATGGTTTATACTATTACGACTAAAAACCCTGAGTCATATAATTCTATAACAACAAACTTACAAAGTCCTCAAGGACGATATTGTAAACTAACCTTAAACACAATGACGACTAAAGCCTGTTTTGCTCTTTTGACACCAGAAGACTTTATTGTTGTGAATGGTAAAAAATACTCCTTTGAAGATACTTACTCAGATATACCACCAACAGGTTTTGTTGACTTATTTAATACTTTAAGTACGGGTGTAACATGTGCTGCAACTAGAGCAGGTTTCATTATGTTTGGATGTCCGACTGAGTTTACTATAAACGATATGAGCTATAATACAAAACTTATTTCTGGTTTTTACTACCAACAGTTTCCTATAACAGGAAAAGGTGTCATACAAGGAATGTCTATTCCATTGACATTAAGCACACCAATCTTATATATTGTTTCAAACTTAGGTTCAAAGTGTTATTCGAATGTCGACAGAAACTATTATGACCAAAAGATACTTATGCGTATAAACAATACTTTCTCTGCTGGTTTGCCTATTGTTCATTCGAATGCAGAATTTTCAACCTTAGTGAACTCAAACACTTTGGCAAGTATAACGTTGACATTAGTTGACGCAAACTTTGTTCCTGTAAAACTTTTATGTCCTATGTATTTGTCAATGACGGCAGAAAGTTTCGAATTGGAAGATGCAACTGGTGAAAGTATTGTATTACAAGAACAACTTCAACAACAAATAGCTCAAGAACAACAAATGCAACAAATGGAACAACAAAGTCAAGAATAAAAAAATATTTTTTTTATTTTTATAAAAATGTACAGAATAGATGTTTCAGATTTTTATGACTTCCAAGCATTCAGAAATATGTGTCCATTTAGAGACTATAACAAAGCAGTCGAGAATTTGAAACGTTTAGTCATTTATGTTGACTCTGCCCCAGAATGTTATGTCATGAAAGAATGGGATGTTGTCTTTAACAAACCAAGAGCAACAATAGTGTCTGAACAAGAATGTAGACAGAAACTTAAGAAAATAAAAGTTGTACAAGTTGGAATGAAGATGTTAGATGCTTGGGATATCTTATTGTCAAAGTTAGAAGATTTTTCAGTTCGAGGTATAAAGTTCTATACACCTTCTCCAAACTTCTATTCTATCTTCACTGGATATAAATATGAACAAGTAGAATGGAAAGAAAATATTATAGAAGCTTGGTTAGACCATGTCAAAGAAATTATATGCAATGGAAACGAAAAGGTTTATGAGTATATCTTATGTTGGTTTGCAAACATCTTACAACATCCAAGTGCTAAAAATGAAACTGCTCTCATTATAATTGGAAAACAAGGAACTGGTAAGAACACTTTCTTTACAGATATCTTATGCAAACTGTTAGAAGGTTATTCGAATCCGAATATGACAAACTTAGAAAACATCTGTGGTAAATTTAACTCCTCAATAGAGAATATGAAACTTATAGTTTGCAATGAACTTCAAAGTATAGATACAACAAAAGTTTTGAACTCAGATGCTTTGAAGAGTCTTATAACAGACAAAGTTGGAGTTGTTGAAAGAAAGTATAAAGACCAAAGAGTTTGTGAAAATGTTGCAAACTTCATTATGGTTTCAAACAATGCTGTTCCGATGAAGTTAGAAAGTTCTGACAGAAGATATGTAGTTGTCAGAACGTCAGATTCTCATATGCAAGATACAGAATATTTTGACGACTTAGCAGAAACTTTGACATCTGACTTTTACAACCACTTGTTCTCATATTTCATGACATTAGATATTTCTAAGTTCAATCCAAGACAAATTCCACATACCGAAGAGAGACAAACATTGTTAGAAGCAAACAAGAGTGTATATGAACTGTTCATAGAAGAAAGCGACTTTGTGTCATTAGATGAAAGGTCTTTATATGATTTGTATAAACAATATTGTCAAGAATATGGTTATATGGCAGCTTCTAAACGAACATTCTTGGCAAATGTCAAAAGTCTTTTAGATGTTCAGAATGGTGTATATACAAAGAAAAATTTTTCTGAGTAAATTTAAAAAAAAATATTTTTTATCCGATAGAAAAGATGGCAAAATTCATCTCAGTAAATAAGTACATGACAGAAGTCAAAGATAAGTTAGCTCCATTCGCATATTTGAATGTTTACTTCTACAATTTTGAAAAGTCTACGTTTGACATAATTTGGAACATTGCACCAGTTAAGTTTGCTGTTGTTAGAAAAAGTGGTGCAACTTTTGAAGACTTAGACATAGAAGGTTTGTTAACAGTCAAAGAAAATTTTGACAGAAAGTTCTCAAAACTCGAAGAAGGTAAAGCATACAAACTTGTTATACCTTATGAACCAAAGAAAGCAGACGACTATGAATATTATGAGTCTAAGATAGTTGAAGTTCAAGGTAAATTGGGTAAAAAGATTTTAGAGTCTAAGCCAGTGTTTACTCCTAAAGAGGAAGAGAACATTGACATTGACCCAGAAATGTTCTAAAAATAAAATTTTATTTTTACATGTCAAATTTCTTTTTCTCTGGAACTGGTTCAGGTTCTTTCTTCTCTTCTTCTACTTTCTTTTATTTCTTTTCTCTCTTCTTCTTTTCTGGTGGAGTTATGTCAAATTTGGCGCAACTATATTTATGTAAAAGTTCTTTGTCCTTTAATAGCTCATCTATTCTGTTTTCTATTTCATCTTCAAGAACAGCGCATGTGTCTTCTTTGCATTCTAAGAACTTTTGTTGGACTTCATCTTTCCAATCGGCGTCATCTCTGTCAACAAGTCTGTCATTGACAAATTTTAAGACTGCTCTTTGTAATGTTTTATGGTTCTTGTCATATTCCCAGAAACAGAACTTTAGAACAAATTCACCTTTCTTGTTTACACTATGTAAGATTTTATGGTCGACAGATGTTTTGCTGTCGAAAAGCTTGTCTCGAATATAGATAGCGAAATCGCTAGACATTTTCTAAAAGATAAAAATTTTAATTTTTCTAAAAATATGTTAGAAAAAAAGTTTGCTGACATTGACAAAAAATTTGAGAATGTTTTAAATAAGAACAAGGTGAAGTTAGAAAATGCTCAGATAAAGCCTATACATGACAAGTTCTTATTTGCTCAGAATGGTATAACAGGTCTAATTGCACCACCTGGGTCTGGTAAGACTTTCACTTATCTTAAAATGGCTGCACAACAACAAGAACTAGATGAGAAGAACCCATTCTATGAGTTAGTAGTCATTTGTAGTACTTCTGGTCAATTTGACCAAACCGTCAATTCGTTCAAAGATATTATAAAGAAGTCTAAGTTAGTATGTATAAAGGATACTGAGTTGTTAGATTGGATAAAGAAGTACCAAAGAAGAGTTTTGAAGTATAATCCTATAAATGAGTATATAAATTCTAAGTTTAAAGACCCAAATGAGGAAATGCAGAGAATATTAGAGAAGAAACACTTCAGAAACAAACAGAAAGAGATAGAATACATTTCGAAGAAATTGCAATCTTACGATTGGAAGACTTACACTCATAGATGTCTTCTTATCTTAGATGATTTCGCCTCTCATCCTTTGTTAAAGAATAGAGAACAAGTTATGTGTCGAATTCTTAAGAAGCTCAGACACTTTAACATCTCAGTTGTCATTTGTGTACAGACAGCAAAGAGTTTAAGTAAGGATGTTAAAAGAATACTTACTGACATAATACTTTTCCCCGGATTGTCCGAAGACGATTTCATGGAACTTATGAAAGAGTCCATGGCAGGTAAGTTTGACAGACATGAACTATGGGAGAAGTACAAAGTCATACAAGACCCTCATACTTCTTTCAGAATTCATATCTACGCAAACAAAGTTCAAATTGTAAAAAGTCAATAAAAATAAATGGTTCATCTACCCTACTTGTTTGAAGTTGTCAAAATACTCTGTTATTTTTTCCTTCAGTAGCGGTAAGTCTTCTTTGAAGGTAAAAATTGTACAACCTTTCATATCATAGTGTGTTTGAGGTAACGTATCTTGAACTATTTGTTTCACATCTTCATTGGGTCATTGAAATCGGTAAGTTTCGCGATAGAACCAATTTCTGTCAGATTTGTATATCTTAGCAAGGTCGTAAAAGCTTTTGTTGTTTCTTCTGACTAAATGCAACATAACCATATCTTTATCTTCTTCATTTTCCATCTCTTCAGTATAAATCATATACTTATAGTTCTTTTCCTTACCTTTTGGTACCGAACGTGGTATTCTTTTCTGAATGCTTTTGTCTTTTGCTTCAATGACTTCATCTTTTGCATGAAATTTCTTTTCCTCTTTCACGTTCTGCTTTATATAGTTCATCTAACATCATGAATATAACAAGCATAACGAGGTGAAGCCCACATTGCTACAGCATTTACTAAAAGTCTATGAACATAATTCTTTCAAACCAGGAAGCCAAATTTTGCGATTTTCGTACGGAATCTCTTCTCTCGGTTTTCCGAGGGAAGCAATCATATGAGGAAATTCTTCTAAAAGTTCTTTTGTCTGTTGGTTTTCAAACCAATGATATGCTTGCTTTGTAGAACGAAGAGCATTCAAAATACTTTGCATTTGGTACATATCGTCTTTGACCGAACGAATGAGACGGAGTTGTTTGTTAAACTGTATGTACTCGTATTCTTCATTTATAGCTTCATGGACTATAACTGTTGTTGTGTTCTCTGTTGTTGACATATCTGTCTTTACATACAAATAAAAAAAATAAATAAAAAAAAACTAACTTTATTTTTTCTATCTTAAGGAAATTCATGATTTTTGTGCTGAATTCAATAAAAATAATGTTTAGGGTAGATGGTTAGATCTAACCCGATATCTACCCTCTTTTCTACCCCAGTTATTTTATAAACGTTTCACATGGTAAACGTTATTTTTTAAATTTTGTGAAAACTCAACGGTTTGACACGATGCCCTAAAAATTATTTTACTCAGAATTTTGTTTGCTGAATTCAATAAAAATATATTTTAGGGTAGATGGTTAGATCTAACCCGATATCTACCCTCATTTCTACCAGTTATTTTATAAACGTTTCACATGGTAAACGTTATGAATTCGTGAGACTCTAAACAGTTTTGTAGCTTCTATTTTTCTTTTAGTACATCGAATGTTTTAAACGATACCGAAAGTTTCTTTATACTTCTTCTTGACATCAGATAGAAGGAAATCGTCAGCAGTTGGATAGTTTTTGTTCAGAAATTCTAACATGTCCATTTTATTTTCTACCGGCTTCTCTGCTTCTTTCTTTAAGTCTGCATGTCGTTTCTCATACGTTCTATCTCTTTGACGGAGTAGTATATATTCCTCATTGCTGCTTTACATTTAGAAACATTGCGGGCTTCATTTTTGCGTTATATTCTGAAACCTTACCTGCTAAAACAACTAAGGCGTCAATGGTTTTCTTTAAATCTGAGTAGTTGGTTTTATCTGTTCATTCCATACCTTACCTCTTCTATCTTTATCTCTTATCTGCCATACATTTTGAGCTAATGAAACAAAGTTGTCGTATGTCTTAAATCCCCAGATTTATATATGTCAGAGATGTTCTTATATAACATGTCGCAATCTTTGTCCATAACTTTATTTGCAATGAAAACCAAGGAATTCATTTTACTTTACGTATGAATTTCTTTAATTTCTACTGAGTCAGTTGCTTTGACTTCAATTTCGTCGAATTCAGGAATAGTTAGTTTTGCTGCTGAATTTCAGGTAGTTTAGGCAATGGTCGATGAGGTCCTGCATTTCATAAAGATACTGTTCATTTGTTTCATCTTTCGCACTACAGTCTAAATTACTTGTTAAAAGTTCTTGCTTTATCTTCTGGATTTCTGTTTCGAAAGTAAATGAAGAAGGAATGAAGTTTTTCATTTCTACTAACATAGATGTTGGATTCATGACTAACGAGTTTGGTGCTGTTGTTTGAATTGTTGTTGTGCCGATTGTTGAAATCATATCTTACATACAAAATAAAAAATAAATAAAAATAAAACTAACTTTATTTTTTCTATCTTAAGGAAATTCATGATAAATTCAAGAGGGTAGAAATCGGGTTAGAAATCGGGTTTAGATCTAACCATCTACCCTAAACATTATTTTTGCTGAATTCAGCAACAAAATGAACAGGTCAGGATGTATGTAAATACCTTGATCATTTATAACGCCCTTAGTAAGCTCTAAAATGCTTGTTTTGAGGTCGAGCCATTTTGGCTCCACCGTATTCTTTCAACCAAACTCAAGAATTCCTGCATGAATTTTGTATAAAAAGCAACAGTCCCGAATTCCGGCGGTTGCTATATTCTTACAAAATGCCTTATAATACTCTTCCAGAGACTTATTTTTCCAACAACTTTCTAAAGTCTTTCCTAACTGACTGACTGACTGACTGACGGCACAAAGTGCTTAACGAAAACATTAATATAAAATTCATGAAAATTCAAGAGGGTGAAAAAACAGGTGAAAAAACAGGTGAAATCTCACCTCTTCACCTAAATTATATTTTTTGGTCCGGGAACAACTTTCTCTCAATTGGAGCTGTAGCATACTCTTTGCGTAAGCGGTTCAGACCTTCTTCGAAGTCTTGGTCTCTCTTGGACTGAGATTGGAATTGGAATTGCTGGGGTGGAGCTTGCTGGAACAACCAAGGGTTTGGGAAGTAAGGCATAGGCTGAGGAGGGTAGTTCGGGAAGCCTTGTGGTGGGTAGTAACCTTGAGGTGGAAATTGGTAGTAATTCGGAGGTACTTGCTGGAACTGAGGTTGCTGAGGAGACTGTTGTGGTTCTTTAGGTTCCTCTGGTTTGGGAATGGACTCGGTTGGTGGGACGTCAGTCATCCGTTTGTGTCCTGTCGGAAGGAAAAACTTTTCCTGTCGGAAGGAAAAACTTTTTCTGTCGGAAGGAAAATTTTTTCTTAAGTTCGACCAAAAAGTTCTCAATTTTCGAAAATTTGAATGGTTTACGGACGGACAACTGGAAGAGTTCTTCCTGTCGGAAGGAAAAAATTTTCCGGACAAAGGGAAAAATTTTTCCTTCCGACAGGAAGAACTTGGAATGCAAGAAAGACTTGACGAGGCAATTTACCTCATTGAACTTAACGACTGCGTAAAAGACTACTTGCGCAAGGTCATGAAGCCCAAGGTCAAGTTTACCACTATTTCTGGAAGGTCTACACTTCAGCTCGAGACTTCGACTGGAATTCCAATTCAAATACCAGACGGGACAGCCTACGACGACATAAAGCAAGCAAAGAAGGAAGCCATTATAAAGTTCTTTGCCAAGCGTCCTTGGATAAAAATACCAAACAAGGAGAACCCCCTACCCCATATGAAATTGGCAATTCAGTCTCTCCTTCACTTCTCTGGTCAACCATTCTACATAACCTGTGAAGGCGACATCCAGCCAGTTCAGTAAACATCTCATTTTAACTCACTTTTTTATGTTTTTTGTGAAAGTGTCAAAAATAAATTGTTTTCATGAGTTTTCTACGATGTTAGAAAAAATGTTATTTTCTAATATCTTCACATTCAATACTTTTTCAGCACTTTTCCGTAGTTATATATGAAAGACAATTCGAGATAAAAGTCATAGTACAATGGAATAATATGTTGCACACCATTTGTTGTGAACCAAACTTGAAAGTCAGAGAAACTGTTACTAGGTGGTTCGTAGAATTTAGAAGCAAAGTCATAAAGGTCCTTACCAATACATAGAAAACTATTGTTTGCTTGAACTGAAACTTGCATGACACATAACATTTTGAGGGTCAAACACGTTTCTATAACCATCAAATCTGCTGTGGAAGTATAAACTTAAATGGACCATCTGGTGGTAATGGTTCGTTCTGGTTTAGTAACGAAGAAATTGTGCCCAAGAACGTTTGTCTACTTCCCAAAATAAAAACTCTGTATCTCTGGAGGGTTAATTTCAATCTTTTGAAATGAAACGGTGGAGTTCATCTTGTCATATTCTAGTTTCAGATAGTATGTTCCATTAGTAAAGAGTCGTATTTTTTTTGAAAATTCCCAATAATATTTGTTCATTTGAGTTTTGAAAGTCATCTAGAGTTTTCTCAAGACTTTCGTCTGAACAACTGTAAAGATTCTCATTTCGTCAAATTTGTCTATTAGACCATCAGAACCTTCATACTGCCCATGAAAATATACTGCGAAATAAATGCGTTAGTTCTATTTGAAAACAAAACTCTTCTAATCCTATTGCCTTTGCATCTGAAGGACTTTGAAGCCAACGAATTGGATAGTCAAACCTGTATGCTCGGGATGAATTTCTTCATCTGAAATAGTCCTACCAGCATTTGTAAAGATATAGTCTAACGTTTTGTATCTGCTACTTTTGTTCTTTGTTTTTCAACCTGAAGCATTTAATATATGTAAAAATATATTGTTTAAAATGTATGCCATTTCATATTTCTCATCTAACAAACAAGTTTCCCAACGGTCTTCTCCAACAAACTCAGCGTACATTTCAAATAAAATTTAAAAAATGTCACTTTTTAAAAAATAAATTTTTTATTTCATGCAATGTTTTATTTCTGTGCCGTCTTCAAGTATGCCCCAATATTTCCTTTTCGATATTACATGAACTTCAAAATACCTTATCTAGCTTAAAACAGGCCCATCTTTTCACCGACCATTCCCATTTCAATGAGTTTGTTATAGCCTTCTTCGTTTGTCATGAGTGCGTCAATGTTCTCATAGTAAACCTTCACTTTGGATTTGACTTCGGAGAAGAATTTGTTGAAGTTGTCAAGGACTGCGCTTTGCGAACTGAGGGTAAGACCAATGTTCGACAATAGGTTTTAATGTGGTTACTAAGCCACTTTGACCTTGAGTGAATTCGTACTTCAAAACAAAAGGAGAAAACCTTTCAACAAAGTTGTCGACCTTCTCATAATGTTTACTCTTCATCTCTTGAGGTTTCTTAATGGAATATCCCCATGTCGAATTCATAAGCAATTTGAGTGTCATTGCAGTTTGGGGTTTGAAGCTTTCCTAATATCATACAGTTGTTGTATGACTTTTCCAACTGTATAGTTCCTTTCCGGAACTCACCATCTTCGTTTGGAATTCCAGTCGGAATATATTGGACAAACCTCATGTATGCAGCGTTAAGGTCGACATAGTATATCTTTCATCTGAGTCGAACTTGTCGCAACCAATTGGTCCAGTTTGTGGAAATTCAAGTGAGTCTCTTATCTTCTGAGAAACTTCTCCTGTTATCTCATAAAACATCGTCGAAGCAACCTGTTTCGTATAAAACCTTCTGACCTAACTCAGATGCTCTCCAATACAATTTGACGTCAATTGGATGTCTCAATGGAAGTTTATTTATAGCATCTTGAAGTTCTTGCAAACCTCATTGGAAGTTCTTCTGGTGTTCAGTTGGTATCCGAACATACCAACCCCTTGTGGAACTGTGTACTTCTTTGTACTAGAACTTTGTCTGGAACAACTTTTGGTCTTGCTAACAATGAAAAGTTTGTTTCGTCTTTTGGTACAAAAGTTTCTGTCAGCTTGTCATCTGGAATTGGTTCCAACAAACCTTTCTCGAAAAGAATGTTTACAGCTCTGACAATGTTGCACTTACTTTTACCAAAAGAATGGGTTTGTAAGACTTTCGTTCAACATGAAGTGGTTGTGGACAATTACAATCTTCAACCATGGTAAGTCTTTTGTCAACAACATAGTCGTCATGTGAAGAACCTTTAGCTGTAGGTATGTTGACTCGGATATTTGACATTTGCCAACGGTGCAATTTTGCCAATTGACCTCTGAGAATGTACCTTGTCTTCACACATGACTCAAGATACTTCATCTTCTCATCTGTAACAAGACCAGAGTTCCTGAGACATGTAAGAATGCAAGGTTCGTTGACAATTGTTTCAATTGAATTGTGTAAATTCCATACCTTGTCAAGTCAATGTCAGACTTATTTATGAACGGGAAGTATCCAGCATGTTGTCTGGACTGCTTGAGGGTTAGGTTGGTACCATTCGAACTTGACACTTGCAATTCCTTCAATTGCATTCAAAATGTCTGAGTCGGAAGTCAACCATTGTTTCTCTCTTTGTAGTCTTGAAAGCCTCAGAAGTTTTGCGGCTGTTTGTTCATTGCCATGTGCATAGTAAATGGACCATCCAAATCTGTTATGGTCAATCTGAGATTGTGTCCTTTTCTTATTTCCGTCTTGAATTGCAGCAAGTACTCCCATGAAGCCTTCTTTGTTCTTTCCTTCGTCAAAGTTTACTGTAAAGGTTCGACCAGATGTAATTTGACTTCTAACTTCACGATACTTTTCATATGCATATCTTGTTCTTTCCATGGGGGCATGTGCATGTGCGTCTTCACCTTTTCCTTTTTTCCTTCTCAAAGGATGCAATTGTTCGTCATGTTTCCAGTAAATCTGCAAACCCGTCGTGTCCTTCAACTTGAGGTTCACTAACATCGAAAGGCATGTCCATAAGACGTTCTTCTTCTAACCTCTCTAGTCTGTTTGGATAATTGGCACGTGCTGTTTCCAAATCCATTTCGTAGCGAAGACCAGACAATTTGTCATAGACTTTTATGGGTCTTCCTTCCTATATTAAAATTCTTCGAAACTCTCCAACCATATCTTTGTAACTCTGCTTTTATTCTAGCAGACTTTCTATCCATTCTATATGGGGGCATTTTTATAAAAATAAAAAAATATTTTTTTCTTTACTTTACATAACCACCTGCTGCCATATGTTTTGACGCCACACCCATACCAGCTAATGAAGGTTGACTTGGTTTAGTTTGGAAACTAAACTTTGTTTTTGGTTTATCTTCAGTTTTTGGTTTTTCTTCTTCTATCGGTTTTTCGTCACTTTTCGGTTCCTCTGACTTTACTTCACTTGCAGGAACAGTTGTGTCGTCAACATCTTCATAAATATCATATGCCATTTGTTTTTGTTTTCCTTTCAACTTTTTGTGTTTGTTGTAAAGTTTAGAATATTTCGACTCTAAGTCAATGAGATGTTCTATAATGAACTGTTGGTCAGTGAAGTAAACTTTTCCATCTGTTGTCTCGAAAGCTCCTTCAGACTTCAATATTTTATTTGTGAGAGTCTGTTTCTTTTTTGAGATACTAGCCGTTCCATTTCTATGAAAAGTGACTTTATAGTTAGGGTTTGTATTTCCAGACCTGGCACTTCTATTATTGAATTTTTCTTCTTCATCTGTAAGTTCTTTGACAGGTTTTGACAATGGTTCTGAACTTTTTGTTTGTGGTGTCAAATCTACCGTTTCAACTTCTTCGGTCATTTCATCTCAGTAAAAAATTTTAGTTTGGTTTGTTTTCAACTGGTTGTTTAGGTTTTTTAAGTCGTCTAAAACTTCCTGAGGTATAGGAAGAACTTTACAAACACGTGGTGTAAAAGGTGGTCTTCCATGACTTATTCTGTTTAAAGCTGCATTGTTCATTTCATCTCAGTAAAAAAATTTAGTTTGGTTTGTTTTCAACTGGTTGTTTAGGTTTTTTAAGTCGGTCTAAAACTTCCTGAGGTATAGGAAGAACTTTACAAGCATGTGGTGTAAATGCTGGAAGCCGACAAATCCATCTTGAACTCATTTGTCTCAATGCTGCATTGTTCATTTCATCTCAATAAAAAACTTTACATTCCCCACGTTTGAGGCGGTTGAGGTTGGTTATTGTTTACCCACTGTTGTGCATGGTTATATCCTCTGTTAAAGAATCTTTCACCTTGGTCCATATAGTGTCCTGCTTGGTTATAGTAGTCATTTGCTTTGTTATATATAATAGTTTCCTGCTTGTCTTCCTACATTGTCCATCCATC